AGTATCGGGGAATGGCCCATGGTGTATCTGAGTTACTATGGTTGAGGAGATTGTTGAAAGACCTTGGTTTTGGGCCTAATAAACCCATGGAGTTATATTGTGACAATACGGCTGCGATTGCAATTGCTCATAATCCTGTACAACATGACCGTACAAAGCATGTGGAGGTTGATCGAAATTTCATTAAGGAAAAGTTGGATGCGTAGATTGTGTCCTTCCCCTTCATCCGTTCAGAGTATCGGTTAGCTGATGTTCTTACGAAAGCTGTTTCTACAAGTATCTTTCTCAACTCGCTTGACAAGTTGGGCATGCGTGACGTCTTTGCTCCAACTTGAGGGGGAGTGTTGGCGAGTCCTATTCTATTTGGGTTTTATTTATTTTTCCTTTTGTGTAGATATTATGTAATTAGGATTCCACTTATTTCCTAATTAAACCCTACTAGGGTTTGTAACCTGTATTATAAATACCTTCTTTCGGAGAATGAAATAGATCTGAAAATATTCTACCATATTGTTTGACTTTTGTGACGTATATGCACCAACTTGAGGAGAAGTGTTGAAGTGAGTCTCCTAATTAATCAAGGAGATTTATTTTCTTGATTAATTAAAGGATTTACTTTCCTATTTTTATATAGTTGTCAAATCATTGTATAATTAGGAGATACTTTCCTAATCCTTTACTGTGTCTAATTCCTTGTAAAGCACTCATGTAAACTCTTATATATACCTCCTTATGGAGAAGAATAAAATAAGAACCTAACATATTCAAACCCATATTAATATTTTAGCAATCCCCAAAAGCCGGCTCTTCTGCAACTTTACAGTTGGTGTGATAACATAATAAATAGTTCCTGAAAGTTATGGTAATACGACTGCGTCTTGGCAAATTTATTTAATACTTGTGTTGCCTTCATGTGTCATGCGACATTCCTTCCTTGTGTATCAATATGAGCTTTGATGATGCCGAAAGTAGATTGGGTAGGGAGGGAGGGAAGGAAGGATAAGCAAAATATGCACCATTGGAATTTTGTGTTTTTCAAGTATTAAAAATTGAAGTGCTTCCTTAAAAAGCACTTCAGTAGGGAGACTCCTGCTGGCCTTCCCTGTCTTTTTCCAGGATTGGCTTCATTTTCTCAAACTTTACCTAGTTTTACGATTGGGAACCAAGATGAGGAGACTAAACCAAAGCTTCCCATTGGACTCAACTATGAATATCGCTCTCCAGGAACCCATTTCCAGCAGAACCATTTTCAGTTAGTTTCCTCCCATTTTCTGCGTAAAAACTTTTGCCAACAAAACAATGAAGTTGTAGTAAACAAGGTTCTTATGTCATGTCCAAACCAAGAACTACCATTGGAATTAACTTCCTTTTTGGGCTCTATATTATTTTTTCTTGTTTGCTGGATGCTAAGATTTTAACATCTTCTTGTCAATATGAATTTTCCTTGAAGATGCTCATTGTGAAAATTCATCCTTCTTTTCCTATATATAGGTCTTCACTGAAATCCCAGAATGTACTCAATTTCCTCTCAAGTCTATGGACAGTAGAGTTTTGAAGGTTTACAATGGATTCTAGGCTTTCAGAGGCAATTAAGAGAAATGACACACCTACGTTCATCATCTTAGTTGAAAAAAAAGAAGGAATTTTTGACCAAAGAGAAGCTGATACTTGCAACACACCATTACACCTTGTGACAAAGTTGGGAAACCTTGACATGGTATCTGCAATTGTCACATCTCGCCCTGACATGGTTGCTGCCGAGAATAAGGACCGGGAGACTCCCGTCCATGAAGCTTGTCGAGTAGGGGATGCCAAGGTCTTAAAGCTATTACTAGATGCCAATCCTAGAGCAGCTACTAAGCTCAACAATGAAAAGAAGAGTGCATTCTTCCTGGCTTGCAGCCATGGCCATGTTGATGCGGTGAATCTCCTGTTAGATTATCCTGGAATGTTTGAATTAGAGGAAGATGGACTTGATCAAACTTGCATCAATGCGGCTGCGTCTGGTGGACACAAGGGTAAGTAGTAAAATCATCTCATTCAAATTGACATTAAAATTTTTATTTTCATTCATTTTATAGGTATACATACTTAATTTTGTGTATGCATAAAGAAATCAGTATTGCTGGTGCGCAGATGTTGTTAGAAAGTTGCTAAGAGTGCGTCCTGACCTTGCTTCTGTGATTGACGAGAATGGGAATTCCCCATTGCACCGTGCAACCAGCAAAGGACACAAGCAGATAATCCGGATGCTCCTAAAGCATGATCCAAAACTCGCTCAGCGAAAAAATAAAAAAGGCTACACGCCATTGCACTTGGCAGCAATAAATTACAGAGCTCCTATCTTTGAGGAATTTGTTTTGATGGCTCCAAACTCTTTTCATTGTTTCACAAATGACGGGGAAACAGTATTTCACTTGTTTGTGAGACATGGCCACCATGATGCTATAGTATCCTTGATCCATTGCTGCGAGGATATGGATATATTACGTCATATGAATTTATTAGATCGCCGAGATCTTAATGGCAACACCATTTTACATCTTGCAGTTTCTGAAGCACAACATCAGGTATGATATGCTTGTTTCTTAAACAATGCTCATTGGTTTCTGATGACCAGATATGTAGGACATTAATTAAAATGCAGATAATTAACATGAAGAGTACGTACTTCGTCTTAAGTGCATGCACTTATCACGGTACAGGAGCCTATCTTTTTCTTATTTGCATCGTGTAGTCCTAAACAAACACCAGTGAATTGTTCAATAAACAAACACTAGTTTATGAATATTGCTGTCACTTGTTAGAGATTTTCAACGCCTAAATAACAATTTTCGCAAGATCTTTACTCTATCTTTATGTGTGTTCCAGATAGCAGAGTACTTAATCAAAACACTAGGAGTGGGAATCAATTCAAAAAACCGTGAAGGACTCACAGCGCTTGACATCCTCAAAAGGGACAAGGAAAGTGTAGAAAAGCGGAGTCTTGAAGCAACATTCATGCAAGCAGGAAGCAAAAGGAACAGCGAGTTGGTTTCTCATGCAGTGACACACCCAGAAAAAATGCCCAAAGTAGAAATAGTCAATAATCAGTCAGACACAATCCTTAAAAGCAAGTCAAATAGAGTTCAAGTTGTTACGGAGCTTGAATTGCAGGATTGCAGTATAAATGAAATAGGTTCTTCCTCATCAATGACCCCATCTAGTTTGTCATCTTCCAGGTCAAGAAATTCATCCATCTTTCAATCAACCCCATCTAGTAAGTCATGGCATCAGCATCAACTCGAGGAGGGAGTTGACAATGAAAGACAAAAGCCAGAGTCCATATTGACAACTATTGAGAGACAACACAAGTATCCTAGCAAAAGGCACCAGTCAGAACTGAGTGAGATTTCCTCCAACTCCGAAAAGAAACATCATAAGGTATATACAGAGGCGTTGCAAAACGCCAGGAACACTATAACGCTAGTTGCCATCTTGATTGCAACAGTTACTTATGCTGCCGATATCAGCCCTCCTGGTGGTGTCAATCAGGATGGACCGATGAAAGGACAGGCAGTAGCAGGAAGAACAATTGCCTTCAAGGTCTTTGTAATAAGTAATTACATTGCACTGTTCACATCACTCTCAATCGTCGTTGTTCTCGTCAGCATCATCCCCTACAAGGTCTTTGTAATAAGTAATTACATTGCACTGTTCACATCACTCTCAATCGTCGTTGTTCTCGTCAGCATCATCCCCTACCGGAGAAAGCCACTGATGATGGTATTGTCGGTTGCTCACAAGATCTTGTGGCTATCTGTGGCATTCATGGCAACAGCTTATGTTGCAGCAACATGGGTGATCATGCCACATAGTCAAAAAAAAGAACTGGTGCTTGTAGCTTTATTGGCTATAAGCATTGGCACTCTGGGAACAGTTTTTATTGGTCTATGTGTGATGCTAATTGATCATTGGCTGCGAAAATTGAAGTGGAGAAAAGAAAGAAGAGAAAGACGGGAGCCTAGTGCAGACCTTGAAATGGGAAGCCCAAACTCATTCGTTGAGAGCACCAAACATCAAGGATTGCATGCATACTGAATGTTTGCACATCCCATAGAATTGATAGGAATATCTGGTTTCCTTTTTCTTCTTATGCCTTCATAACACATGCTTAAGAAAGTTCAACTCATCTAGTTTCACATGAAAGTATGAACAAGGTATCTGCATAATAAAACTGTTGAACGAGTTTGGATTATATGCTCTTAGATTCCTAAACACCAAAAAGATGGGAAAATTCTAGCCTATATATCTATAAATACGACTTAAAAGGGTAAATCTGCTCATATGCCCCCAGCACAACCTAATTTGTTTCACAACTCAAAAACATAGGCAACTTCTACTTCTCCAAGTTTCTATGTATGCTGCACAAAATCTCTAAAAACTACATGTTACTCTTAGCATTATCCACAAAAACGTAGTTCATAAGCCAAGATGTACATTATCCACCAAAGCCATGAAAACCATCAAATATTCACATTCTTTATGTGCTCAATTTCCTAACTCTTTGCTTCCATTACTTTGTGAAACCTGATTACCATGCATCGAAGCTTCCTACAAAATATTCAACCAAATCTTTAATGTGACACCATTCAGATATCAAAAACAAAAAAATTCAGCATTTCTTCAATTATACAAGTTACCTGATGCAGTTGAATGAAAGTCGTGTTATCTTTGAAAGTTGTAGTTGCACCAAAACTTTTACTGGGATATGACGCTTGGGTTCCATTATCAATATAGGATCCCTATTAGAATTATTTTGAACTGAAAATTAGTATGTCACATTTTTTTGTGACGACAATGAAAAAAAATTGAAAAAAAAGTTACCTGAAGCTGTTTAGTGAAAGGCATGGTACCCTGCAAATTTGTACTTGCGTCAAAATTATTACTTGGGAATGATGCTTGGGTTCTAGGATCAATATAGGATCCCCACATATTAAACACAGATGAAAATTGTGACAAAATGAAGAAATAAAAATAAAAGTAAGAAATTACAATATTATCACACGAGCTGTGATTTAATAAACAAATTGATAAAAATGCCAACATTTGTGCTTAGCAAGAATAATATCGTAGTTGAGTTAATACTTCAAACATTGAAATTAATGTCCAATAACCTGTTGCTCTTTTAAATTGTCACTAATAGGAGCAGAGTCCTGTATCTTTACAAATGAAAGAGGAAGCATAAGATAATTGCAAAACATATCAGTAATCTATTCATGAAATTTTAAAACAAGCACCTGCATTGGCAGCCATTTTCTAGTTGCTGCTTGTCTGTCTTTGGTTCGTGGTATATGCTTCTGTGTTTCCAGTGAGTCTGTCAATTTACTACATTGGCATCTGCTTGTATATTTTCTTTTACCTCCACATTCTTTTGTTATTTCACAATGGGTATGCTTTATCATTTTCACCTGCTCAATTCCACCACTTTCTCCCAGTAAAGCTTCGCCTTCTGAGTTTTTATCAACACATATGTTATCTAGGCAAAGATTTTTCTTCATTTCCTCCAAACTTCTAAGCAATTGAATCGAACAGTCATGTGCATATGCAGTTAACTTCTCATCTTCTGCTGCAAAGGATGCTATCTCGCGAAAATTACGGTACAAATGGCTATAACGCTTCCCAATAGAATCCTTAGGATTGTTGTTAGTGATTCCCTCATAATTAGTGATGCTCCTAACCTTTGCATCTCTCGCCCATCGCTGTAATATGTAATCAGGTGGGATCCTTTTCACATTCTTCTTATCTAGCACTTTCAATGCATGAGAACATAAAATCCCAACAAAAGTGAACTTCATGCAACTACAAGTAACTGCTTGTGTTGAACCATCATATTTAACCAAACACTCTTGAGATTTACCACTATAAGATACTCTGTACTCACATGTCATCCCAGACTTACCAACTTTATAGACACTACAATCAAGAATACCCATGTACTCTTTTTCAAAAAGTCTAAAAACTTCAGGGGTATAAACCTCCACTGCATGTCGCAACATCTCCACATTAGTTGATAACAAAGGTATAGTTTGCATCATCTTGAAATCAGCTTGTAATTCCTTATATCGTCGATCTGCCATAACTTTCTCATAGTGTTCAAAGAAACTCAAAAGATTATGACTTGGCATCAAGTATCTTCTCAACACAGTGGTCATACATTCATTGTGTTGTGTAGTCATCAAGTCTGCAGTGAAAGTGTGTCGTTTATACACCAATGCCCACTTATCCCTCACTTCGAATAATTCTTTCAACCACTTATTCTCCTTCAGGTCATACTTTTCAAGCATATCATTCCATGCAAATAGCCAATCATCCTCGTCCTCATATTCATATACACACTTGCTAAGATCACAAGCAAATTGCTTTGATCCATGAAACACGTGGCTTAGATTCTTAGCAGCAATCTGGTAAATATGCCAAGCACATAGCCGATGGTGAGCTTCAGGAAAAACTTCTAATATTGCTTCAGCCATTGCAGCAGATTGGTCTGTCAGTATGGTCTTTGGTTGCTTCATAGACATCACTGCAAGAAAAGTCTCAAACAACCACTTAAAAGAGTCTATCGTATCATCATATAGTAAAGCTGCAGCAAAAACTATAATTTGTTTATGATGATTAACCCCAACAAATTGTGCAAATGGTCTACCATACTCATTTATCTGATAAGTCGTGTCAAAACAAATAACATCCCCGAAGACATCATAATCACGAACTGATCGTGCATCTGCCCAAAATATATTTGTGATCATATCATCCTCATCAAGCTGCATTGAATAGAAATAAGATGAATCATCTTCATGCATACGTTGAAAGTATTGCAGTATGGCCCCAGCATCTCCCTTTTCCATTTTTATCTTTCGCTTTGTACGTAGGTAATTTCGATAATTCTTATCAACAAAACCAAGATTCTCTTGCCCCCCAACTTCTCTACTCATTAATTCCACAGTTTCTTTGATTGGTTTTCTTGACTTGTCTGCACCAACAACATATGCCTTTTGAGCTCTAGATATACAACGATTAACCCTTAGCAGATGTTTCATGGGTGCTTTAATCAAATCATGATTATGACTTGCATTAAACGACACAATCTTAAATTTCCCGTTTTTCTGAAGTTGGCAAATCATATGCGCTTCACAACCAACCCTTGAAATTGGTAAAGAATAAGATGGACTTTCACGCCGTTTATCATTTCTTCGATGACCTTCTTTTGAACAACAGTAAGTTACCCTTGTTACAAAACCCACCTTATTTGTCTTTCTATGTTGCTTCCTCACATTGAAACCATGTGTTCCACCATACTTGACATAAGCTATGTATGCACTCTCATGAGAACTGAACTCTGCTCCAAGTTTTAAATCTTCAGTTATCTCTTTATCTTTATCTGGATCATGAGATTTCAAAGAACATTCATTAATATGTGATTGACAAACAAGTGAATGAAAAAGATCCTTACCTTGCAAATCCACTTCATCACCACTTAATGACTCGCTGCTTAACCCTGTACAATCATTATTCTCCATAACCTGCAACATAAACATTAATCAATTAGAATGATATCATTTAATAGATATTCCCTATGCAGTAATATTCTATAACTATTTCGAATTTGAAGATGAATATTGCAACATTAATCAAAGTCCATCTTCGAGTGCAACATTTAATAGATATTCCCTATGCAGTAATGCTTACTAAGCTGCTCGTAATAATATCAAAATCACACGTTATACTAACATGCATAGTTTTAGTAAATCTTTTATTGTTTTAAAGACTGCAACTGCAACATATGCTGTGCTGGGTTTGTTTTCCAACTTAGAAACAAGAATTTAATAGAATAGTGGATGAATCAAAGTAGGCTTTGATGAAAGCTAAAATTTATATTCAGAATTCAGTCTAAACAAACTTCCAGGCATCAAACGCAATAAAATTAATCTAAGAAATGAATAATAGTTTGTTCATAAATTAGTCAGAGCTCTCACTCCCTGAAGGCAACAACTTCCCCATGATAAATTCAATCACCATCCATCAGTCAAGTTATGAAATTGTTTTTACCGATGTCAGAAATTTCTCCAAAGAATTTAATGAAACAAATGGGCACCCAAAATGCAGCTTGTAAAAACTTGATTTCAGAAAATTACCTTCTATCCTCGTCAATTGCCGGTCGTCGGATCCGCTGGGGTTCGAATTCTTGTGTAAGGTTTTGCCTGCTGAGTATCTGAAACATGTGAAGAATGTTTTACGGTCACCGGTTGGTTACCGGTTGGGATGGTTTCTTTTTCCTTTTTTTTTTTCAATAAAAGAGACAAGTGTTACGAGATGATTGGTCCATTACCAAAGTATTGTGCACATGACCACAACTGATTAGCATTGTTGCTAATCCAAAATCCAACAATACAAGCTCTGTATCCTTTCAATTTCAGACCCAAAAAAAAAAAAATCCCCTCAATTTGAAATAAGTGACATGAAGGCATGAACTATGAATTCCCATTGAGTAATTTAATTGTTTACCTTTAGCAAATTTAATTTGTCACTTCTATAAATGAAAGATATAAAAATTTAATTTGTTTAAAGTATCTTCCCTTAATTTTTGTTTACCTTTAGCATTATCCTTTATTTTATATTCAATGTGATAATGTTGTATCACTATCTCATCATCATACACAAATTGTGAGTTTAACCACTTAAAACTGGTTTTTATTTTTTATTTTTTATATACAAGTGATATTGGGGGAATTGAAATTAGGATCTCGAGTGCAGGGGTAAAAGTTTTTAACTACTTGAGCTACAAGCCCTTTTCTTATAATGTTTTATAAGAAAAATTGAGTTCAAAATTTCATTTCTCCTAAATTAATAAGCTTCTAATTTAGTGCATTTCTCTTCCTAATGTTGAAAGAGATTCCCGTTATTATAATATAGATATCCAATTCAAAACCAATTCACAATTTGTGGATAGGCTCAATTCCCTCTCAACATAGTCGTCCATCAAGGTTGGTCAGCATTTGCAAGCACAGTCTGCATTGAATGACTTGACAATATATCAAGTTGACTACAATTGAGAATGGTTTTGACAAAGGGGCCGCAGAGGAAGTGTGTTTTAAACAGTCACATAAATATATCAAGGAACAGAAGAGCCATTTTCCTTATAATATAATAGACCACCATGAGTTTCCTAGAATGAATGAGATGAGAGAAAGACTTGACTAAGCGACCATGGAATGAGTCAGAGCAGACCAGTTTAAAGTTGTCTCCTCTCAGTCCTTGCCAGTCATATACTAAACCAGGCTCCCAATTGGTTAAGGGAAGATGTTGGAAAAAGAACAAAAATTTTCTAATCCAAACCACATAGATTCCAAGTCTACGCGTAATTCTTTTACTGTCTTACTTAATTGTGGAAGAGTTTTTCCCCACACCAATATTCCTTGAAGATGCCTAGAACTTGGAATGGGGAATATTCTGTTACATTCATCATGCATGGTAGGGTAAAAGGATTATATAAATTCCTCATCTAGTCATCTTTTTTTCTTATTTTGTGTGTGTTTTCCAAGAACTTGCCAGTTTTCTTGTGTATATATGCATTTTACAGCATAGCTCAATTCAGTACTTGCCTTTGTTAAAAGGCAATGCACATTGTACTTTGAATAATAAAAAAAAATCTTAAATAATATAGAAAAATCTTGAAATATTGAAAGAAAGTAGACAAGTTAAAGTTATTAGAAATATCCAAGTACTAGAATAAGGAGAAAAATTGTAGCTGAAAATGACTTCGGAAAAGTCAATTGCATGAGCAACTGACTTTTCCAAAGCAAGCTGCCGACTTAGCTACTCTATATATATATAGCCAGCAACCCAATTATGTATTCAAGTAAGAAAAGTTGAAAACTACAGCTGTCTACTTCTCCCATCAGCCAACTTTTGTATCCAACAAACTCTAAAGCCTTGTACCCTTCTTATTTCAATCAATAAAATAAAACTATTTTGTTACTCTTTCAAAAGTTTTCCTTTCCAAATTAAGTTATTGCCCTAAACACTACCAACCATTTTCCAAACCTCTTCTCTCTTAAACTAACAGCCTTCAATCAAAGTCTATTCTAAAGAACAGCATCTTCCAAGTTCAGTTTGAAGCTTTGAATGGATCCAAGGCTTTTAGAGTCCATTAGCAGAAACAACATACCTGCATTTATCAGCTTAGTTCATGAAAACGAAGGGCTTATCGAGGAAAGGACAGCTGATTCTTTGAACACAGTTTTACACCTTGCTTCGAAGTTTGGAAACATTGACATGGTGTCTGCAATTACTAAGTTGTGCCCTGAAATGGTTACTGCTGAAAAACAAACACTTGGAGACTCCAGTACATGAAGCTTGTCGCCTAGGAAATGCTAGCATCTTAAAGCTGCTATTAGAAGCCAATCCCCGCGTCGCCTGTAGGCTTAACTCTGAGAAAAAGAGTGCTTCTTTTATAGCTTGCAGTCTTGGTCATTTTGATGCGGTAAATGTCCTATTGAAGCAGCCTGGGATTTTAAGTTTAGAGGAACTTGGGCTTGACCAGACATGTATTCATGTCGCCGCATCTAGCGGCCACTCTGGTACTTAGAAAATTTCAGTTTGCTGAGTTTATGCTTTCCTAACTATCCTAGTATCTGTCTGCATGAAATTTTTTGTTCTCATTGATTTTTTAGCCTATCGTGCACGATAATACTTGTGATTTGTTGTCCAAGTTATGTCTGAAAATCCATTGGTGGTGCAGATTGTTGTGTAAATGAACAAAGACTTTCACTCACTCCCCTAATGATCTTGTTGTTGATGGACTTTGTGACACACACAATGATGGATGAATCACACACACACACTTGAGAAACCAACCAAGCACAAAGTGACACAAGTATTTTAGAGGTTCAGCAATTGCCTACATCCTCTTGGTGATCCCCTTGAGAAATTCAGTAATGAAAGAATATGTTACAACTTTGGTTTACACAAAAACCCCCTTAGAACTCTATTCTCTCCCAAGCTCTCTTTTCTCTCTCACCCCTTACTCAACACTTTGATGCACTTGTGAACACTCCCTCACACTTGGTGTTTCCCTCCTTAGTGTCTAGACTCTCAAGACCCAACTCAGCTCCTATCTTGAACTGATAGCCCTCTCTCTCTTCCTCCCTTGGTGAGTTAAACCTCTCTTGGACACACTAGCTCCCAGCTACTTGACCACCCCTTGAGATTTAACCACACAATTGTTGTCTTGTTTCCTCTTCCCTTTAATACACAAGCCTTTGGACCTAGGAGAAGGCTCCATCCTTTTCTCCCACGTTCTCCCCTTGGTTTCCAGACTTGGACCACAACTTGGGCAGAACAAATGCTAGTCATTAGTGGCTGCACCTTCAGCCACCCTATTTAGAGCTATAGGGTAGGTACTCCTTGAAGCAAGTCAACCAACATCATTCAATGGTGTTCCAGCTTTTCCAGCACCTTGCTAGACTTCTTAGAACCCATAAAACACCTTAGAGGCCCGAGGGATTAGGTAGGGAACCAACACATGTGAAGACACCTTGAAAAACGCATGGAAAAAACAACACAGCAAAACTAGCGACCGGTCGCCCGTCACTGGCGACCGGTCTCTTTGCAATCTGCCTGAAATCGACCGGTCGCCTTCCAACTTCTCCTTCAGACTTCGAATCTGCTTTAAAACGACCAGTCGCTTTTCCCTTGCGACCGGTCGCCTCTTCCTTCACTTGCATACTAAATGTGAGCCATTTTTCCAACACAGATATTGTTTGAGAGATGCTAAACATGTGCTCTGACTATGCTCAAAAGACTGATGAGAAAGGAAATTCACCTTTGCACTTTTCTTGCAATAAAGGGCACAGGGAGATAACTTGGATGCTCCTACACCGGGATGTGAATCTGGCGTTGCAGTATAACAACAACGGTTATACACCTTTGCACTTGGCAGCAATAAATGGAAATATTTATGTCCTTGAAGATTTTGCACTGAAGGCTCCAGCAGCTTTCCATTATCTCACAAAAGAAGAAGAGACCATATTTCATCTCACTGTGAGATATGGCAAATTTGAAGCCTTGTTATTCTTGATGCATGTTGCTAACAGTTCAAATCTCGTGTAGTGTCAAGATCGGTATGGTAACACCATCTTACATCTTGCAGTTTCCAGAGGGCGTTATGAGGTGAGGAATGAATTTGAACTATCAACTGAAGCAAAACAATTTGTGAATGGCCTGAGGGCTAAGACACAATCATGTTTTTTCATAGAAAGACATGTTCTCAAAAGCAATATAAACTTGAAGCTTATAATGCTTTCATAGAAACACTTTATGTCATCTTCCATCCAGATTGCTGAGTACTTGATCAACAAAGCAAGAGTGGAGATTAATTCCCGGAACTGCAACGAGTTTACGGCATTTGACATCCTCAATCAGGCCAAGGACTGTGCAGACACTCAGAATCTTCAGACCATATTCCAAAGAGCCAGTGGTGAAAGAAGTATTAATGTGACAACTTGTTCACCAGAAACATTATCTTCAAGGCAGAGCTACATATTCGAATCAGATATGTCTATTATGAATGAAAATGGTAATTTCCCCTCTTTGCCAGAAATCAGCTACATTCTGCAAGAGAACCAGTACAAGTCTAGAATGTCATCACTCCCGAATCAAGTCCAAAAGAGGTTTGACAAAGAAGCATACAAACTTGAGTCCTCGTCACCAACCAATTCGCGTCAAGGCAAGTCTTCCAGCAAAAGGCATCGAGAAGATCATAAGCAGCATAAGATATACAAAGAGGCAATACAAAATGCAAGGAACACTATAACTCTAGTTGCCATTTTGATTGCAACAGTTGCTTTTACAGCTGGAATTAGCCCTCCTGGTGGTGTCTATCAGGATGAAGCAATGAAAGGGAAGGCATTGGCAGGCAGAACAACAGCTTTCAAGGTCTTTGCAATAAGCAATGACATTGCGCTGTTCACGTCACTCTCCATAGTTGTTGTTCTTGTCAATATCATCCCCTATCGGAGAAAGCCGCAGATGAGATTGCTTGTGGTTTTTCACAAGGTCATGTGGGTAGCTGTGGCATTCATGGCAACAGCTTATGTTGGAGCAACATGGGTGGTCATTCCACGAAACCACGGGACGGCATTTGTCCTTTTCACTCTGCTGGCAACACAGTATTAAATATCGATATTATCGGCGAAATATCACCGATAATATCATTTTTT